GGTTCAAGTTCTTATCAGAAACATAAAAGTGTTAATTTATTTTATAGTAAGAACAAACGGAAGTTATAAAATTAAGGAAACATGTGTTTCCCAAAAAGATGTAAATTGTATGATGTTTTTTTGTTGTTGTTTAGGTATTAGAGGCGTAAAATCTCGATATCAACAACGCCTATCTAATCTTAATTTAAAAAATCTCAACAATAAATTGTGACTAGTATGATATAGTTTTCACACATATGGGTGTTTTTTTTATCAAAGTAGAGAAAAAGTCAATTTTTGTTTTATATTTTCAACTTAACTGTTTCTGATGATTTTACTTAAGAATGTGCAATCTGAATAACGAAAACCAATCATTAGAATTGGTTTTAATTGAAGCTGTGCTACAAAAATTGTCTTTTCCTAAACTTTTTAAAAATGACAGATCTCTTTGATATGAGGCCACGTATTTGGTAGTTGGACATATTTTTTTTTTTTTTTTTTTTTTTTTTTTAGTAGTGTAGAAAATAAACTTTATTCTGAGGCGAGATCTCTTAAGAATAACAATTATGAACCAAAAAATAAAAACCACATCTGGAAAAAAATTTCATTAATCAAAATTAAAGAATATATAAAATATCTTCAGTGAATGTATATTAAAACAAATAAAAAAGCAACACAATTTTGAAAAAAAAACATTTGAATAAAAAGAAAAACCGAAATCAGGTAAAATAACAAACAAAATGTTATAAGCACTATGACTTCATAATTAATCTGACGAAAAATATCAAAATCGGAATTTTTAAACACAAGGTTATTCGAAATGAACAAAGTTTTATCTGATTAAAAAAGTTACTAAAATATTCAAATAAATTTGTACTTATTGAGTAGATCTAAAATTTCAATCGGGTTATAAATTAGTCGGATAAAAATTAATTCCGATAAATATTTAATAAAAACAAGACGCAATCACCAAAACTTTGGATAGTGGAAATAATAACACTTTCAAAAGAATCGGAGTCAATTGAACACTCATTTTTGACAAAAAAGAAAATGGATGAAGAAGAAAATGAAAATAGTTTACAATAAAATTTAGTGAATTATTGAAGGAAGTTAGTCGACTATTCTATATATTATGCGTGATAAATATTCAGAACGCAGTCATTATAAAATTTTTATTAGTGCCGACGTTTAAACCCATACATGTAGATCATCTTCAGGGCTGAAAATTTTGAAATACAACCAGAGATATAACATTATACGACCGATAATGGTTAATAATAATCTATAGTGATTGATGGTTCATAAATCTTAACTAATGTTACAATACAAAATATTACAAGTGAAATATGTAAACAGTTATACAAACTTTGAATAATGGATTATATACGTTATATTTAGTTTTTATTACTAAAATTGATATTTTTTTTTACTAATAAAAAAATTATAATGACTGCGTCCTGAATATTTATCACCCAATAAAATTAAGGTTTGAAAATATTAATGAATGCCCCTCTAAGATATCTGGCGAACTGATAATTCGACAACAACTGACATGTATTTACTTTACAATTAATATCATTGCTTCGATTTAATTTTTACTCATTCAGAAAGATTTATTTTTAGTTTGGTCTGTTCACGAGCGAAAACAATTAATATATTAGTCACCAATAATGACTATATTTTTATTCGTCAGTTGTATGAAGTGTCTAAACGAAAGCAATAAAAAAACTATTATTTTCAATCAGTCGTAACACATTATTCGGTAAAAACGCCTGAATTCATAAGTCATTATTTTTTCTGACAAAATATTTGGTCGTCAATCGAATCAATTTTGTCCAAAACTGTTGTAGATAGTGTTTTTTGGTAAACCCATGAAAACACTGAATTAATTGACTCCTAAACCACAAAAAGTGACATCACATCAAGAAGGCATCAATCGTGAGTCATTAGGGATCCGTGTCATTTCAGGGGCCGAAAGCATGGATAGGATGTCAAAGGTTTTAGGTTCTAATTTTACATCCCCGTTTTTATGTTTCTTTTTATCATAAGCCGATTTAGGTTCAGAGGTTGAAGACTCTTTTTGAAATAATATTATATTTGAATATATAATAAATCTTATTTAATTTTTTTATTTATAAAATTGTAATAAAACGTTTTTATAAACATTAAAATAAATAAGTAGGTTAGAAATATATATTTCATTCACGATTTGAATAATTATCTTCCAACAATTTTTATTTATCTCTAGTTTTGTTGCCTCTAACTTGTAGAGTCATTGGCAACACCTTCAAATTACCCTCTGTTGCAGAATTTTATCGCTTTTAAAAATCTTAAGGTTTTTTTAACTGCACTTTCGCTGTCTTGTAGATTTTCTTTTAGGCTCTGTTCCATGTCCAATTTTTTCCTTAAAGTTTTAAACATAGGGCAGTCTTGTATAATATGCTTTACGGTCCTTTGTACATTGCAGCTTCCAAGAATTATAAGCCTTAATTTCTTCTTTTTATTTAAATTCTGTTGCACTAGATCTGTTATAGAATAAATGCCTTAAACGATTAACAATAGTCGGAAGAAATAAATAAAATTAGAAACTCTGTTTTAATTTTGACATCGGGAACATTCTACATAACGTAGGAACGGAAATGAGCATGTTTAATTTCTATTCCGATCCGATTGTTGTCAGCTGTGATAGAACACATTATTTAGTAAATCTGTCTTTGTCCAGAATAATTAATTTATAGTAGATCATTGAGGGATTATGCTGAAATTATTATTATAAAATGGAAAAGATACGTGAATTATTCGTCTATACAATTAATTACAATTGAATTATACATATATTACACAGTATCTCGAAATATATATATATATATATATATATTGCTTAAAATTTCAAATTATGGCCGAAACTAAATTCTTAAACAATTCGTAATATTTTTCACTAATGGATAAAATATTGTTTCCTGTTATGAACTTCATTTTTTTTTATTTGTTTATTTAGCCTCTACCCCTAAGGGTCATTGGCTTAATGTTTCCATTTTATATTCGTTGATAAAAATGAATATTCTTTAAATATTTGAACAGTTTTTTCTATTTCATTCTCCCCATCTTGCAGAATTTCTTTCATTTCTGTTCCCATTTGAAATGTTTTCATTATATTAGTGTACCTTATACATTCTAATAATATATGTTTTACTGTTCTGGGTACTAGGCAATGTGTGCAAGTTGGAGCTTCTAATCCAAGCAAGGGAAAACTCACAGTGGCCAATTCCTAGGCGACATAGTATCACTTCTTCTCGTCTAGACTTTCTGTTTGATATGTTCAATTTGATACATTTTGTTTTTATTTCCCGAAGTTTTGCCGTACTCATTTCCCATTCAATGTTCTATTTATTTTGAAAGGAGAGGGCAAGTTGGTATGTCATCAAGTTGCATCGGCTCTCTCGTTACCCAGAACACCACAATGTGATGGTGCCCAGATGAGGACTATGATTTTATTTTCTTCCTTTAGTTCACCATATATGTTAAACATTTCTGTTATAACTGGATGGTGGTTCGTTGATTGTTCTATGGCTTCTATTACGGACATTGAATCGGTTACGACAGCATGGTTTTTGAAGTGGTTTGTGCGGATGTGCAAGAGTGCTTCTTTTATGGCCCTGTCTTCTCCCGTAAAAATAGAACGTTCTCCTGAAAGTTTGTCCTTGATCATTGCACTTTCAGGCGAAAAAAATTGGTTTTTGAATTTTGCTAGCCGTTATGAAGCCAACTTAACTTCGGCAGAAGACGTTTTTTTGGCATCTGAGGAGGAGGGAGTAAGAATGATGTGGAGGTTAATTTTGACTACTAAAGTAAATCTTCAAATAAAGTCAATTTTACGTGTTTGAATACCCCTTAACAAAGAGCGCCATTTTGAAACGTCTCCGCTTAGAGTCAGCAGACTGGTGCAAATTGAATGATGAACATTACGATAGTGTATGACTATAATTGTTCCTTGAACAAGTCACTAAATTTTGACTCGGGTCTTAGACAATTAAGTCAATTACGGACCCAGGACTAAAAAGAACAATTCCTTCTTTCCGCCCTCCTGAAAAGCAATGAATAATTAATTTGTTTGTTCTTCTTTTCCCAGAAGTCTCTCTTTAGTTCTGAACCAAAATTAATGAACGATTATATTTACCAACTATCATCTTTTATTTCTTCCAAAAATCCAATTCAATTTCAACTTAAAAGACCCATTATAAAGATAACAACGAATTGCTCAATGCACTGGCCACCGAGATTATTAAAAAAAGTATCCTAGCCCATACAAGTTTACACGATTGGTTCTGTAAAAGTGCTATGAGCCCACGGTGGTGCGAGATGTCTTTTCTATCATTTTCCAAATTTCATAATCGGCGAAAGTGGAATTCGTACTATTTCGTTTGGCTTTTAAGTAGACTCCTTAAACAGAAGAGAAAAAACAAAAACAAAAGTAATTTAAGTTGACTCCAAGGAAGCAGTCCTAGAAGTTTCTAGACCTAGAGATGGGATCTAAGATGACGCACTTCACGGTCAGGAGATCATAGAGGAACTTTTGTTGAGGAAGAGAGAGGTTGTACTTCAATAGCTCCTAGGACACTGTGGACTGCGTGGTAATGACATGGTGGACGCTTTAGCAAAGAGTGAAGAAATTCTTGATGGAGAATAAGATTACATACTCTAGAACAAGGAATGTAATAGAAAAAAAAATTCATAAAAGAGAAACAGCTTGAGGAGGTGGCAAGTGTAGCTTTCAGTAAAAAATAGGACATGTTACATGAAGACGCAGTTGCGGAATTCAGGCTTAATTATTTAAAAATAAAATGTTGTCCAAAATGTAATAAAAGCATAAAAATAAAAAAAGGTATTTACTTCAAGGAGAAAAAAAACCAAACAAAAAAAAAAAACCTGGCTATTAATAATTGAAATATATACGACTATTGATGTGAAACGGTATTAAAGGATATCCAGTACTTATTAAATATTGAAAAACGACGAACCGAATGTGGTCCTTTGCAAGGCAGTTTGCTGGAGGCTATTCAAAGTATGATGAAGACAGAAGCCAGGGCTGGATTTATCTCCAGGAACTGTTATTGGCTCCTCCAGCCCCCGTCCAGTGGTTGCTGTTAGCGATATCTCTACTCTTCAGCGGTCTCTGTCCCCCCTTACACACACTCGCTCTCTCTCTCTCTCTCTCTCTCCATATTTCTTCTCCTTCATTTCTCCTCACCCCTTAGATCGGATTGCCGGGGCGTCAGGTCAATTTACCGTCGATGGAAGGGGAAAGCTTCCTTATATCTTAGGTAAAGCCAAGGGGAAAACTTTGGCGATCAACTGTCAGCAAGCCATGTTTGTCAAGATATAAAAACAAGAACTTGCGATCCTTGATCAAATAAGCAGAACAAAGTATGTTAACATCGTCAAGTAAACTAAAGACAAAGTGGCCCACAGAATAAAATCTAAAATACCCCAAAATTGATCATTTTTGAAAGTTATTATCTACAAACTGGGTTGTGAGACTGAAATTGTAAATAATGTTTTTAGGAGTTGGAGGATAATGCTCTTCTTCATATATTTTTTATTATTATTTTATGATGTTTACAACTGCTCTGTAGTCTCCGTGCATTGTTTCTTTGACGTACACGTTAGCTTTGATATGATATTTTTTTTAAATCATTGGTGGGACAGACCTCTTCGAGTCTTTCTTTTTTAATTAAACCAGATTTTTTAAAAAATCTATTCATTGAATAATAATACAATCAGCCACTGCTGGAGGGCTATAAGCATTAGGGCTAAAAGTTCTCATCCATACAATATATAAACCGGATTTTTTTTTATTTATTCATAATATTTACAACTGTATTAATAAATAAAATACATTTAACAAATTTGATAACAGAAAATAATAACATGAAATCACTTGTTGAGAAACTACCCACTGGTAGCACTCTAAAAATAAAATGTATTTACAATAAGAGATCTCGAGGCCATCTTCTTTTCAGACGCCTCGGAGGGTTATCAGGAATAGAAGAGGAAGCAAGGTTAGATACGAGAGGATTCGGATGGTTCTGAAGTTTATTATGGAAGGATTGGTATCTGGATTGGGCCAAATCGGAAACATAAGGAACATTAAGGTCATTATGGATTATTTTATTGGTGACAAAGTAAGGGGGATTGAGGATTTTCCGAAGGATTGGATTGTAAGGATTGGATACGAGAGGAATTCGATGGCTTAGTGGAGCACTAAACCGGATTTAGAAATGCAAAAGTGAAATTAGGTGCATTTGGTATGAATACATAATTGTCCTCTTGGAATGGTATGATTTGAAATATATCAGGATGCGTTTGTAATTTTTTCACGAATTTTAGTATTTATTAGCCAGATTTCAAGGTCAACACGACAATAAAACGATAAACACATATACGATTGTCCAACTCAAAATTAGTAGAAAAAATAATAATGATTTTATTAAAATACCATTTATAATTTAAGATACTCTAAAACATAATAATAAAATCCATTCACATTAAACAAACAATACATTTTACATTTCAGCAGCTATTATAAAAAAATGGAAATATAATAAAAATAAAAAAATCACACAGGTGAATAATAATATATCAACAAACATAATATTATTTTATTTATTTAAAATTTAATTAATATTGAGTTAATTAAATTTTTAAAATATTAATTTAAAAAATCAATTAATTAAATTTTAAATCAATGAAATAAAATCTTCCAGCAATGATATAGGAAAAGTAAACTAAATAGAACACATTGTTACCTAAATAGAAATTCCGTGAGTTCAATGCGACAATGAATCAATTTTAAATAATATGCCGACACTATCTCTCTAAATAAATAAATAAATAGTGATAGGTGGATAAAACGAGACCTACAAGTCTCTCATTGGATTTTACTAAAAGAGCATTCGTAATTATACTAATGTCATTTTTTTTAGTTTTTTTTTTCTTTCTTCCTCGCCTCTACCCTAGAGTCTGAAGGGTCATTGGCGTTTCACTATAATTTACATTCTGTCATAGTACTTTTCTAACTTTAAAAATTTTAACAAATTACAAACTTGCTCTTCACTATCTTGAAACATTTCTCTTAGTTTTTTCCCTAGTCTTATTTTTTTTTTCTGTAGTTTTCAAACTCCAGTGGATTACAAGGTAGGAAAAAAAAATCGCCGAGCAATGTGGGATGCGTGGTTATTCCATGAGAGGGTTTGATCAATTAAAAAACCTAGATTTTTGACGAAGAAGTAGAAGGAAATGGGTTGGTCATTTGGGTATAGTCTGGGAAAATTGGAATTAGGTCGGAGAAGGAGCTTAGAATCGAAGACAATGGCCTGAGTTTTAGCAGCTTTTAACCTTAATTCATTTAAATTTGCTCAGGCGCTGATTCTATCTAGGTCTTCTTGAACGATGGTAAATGCTACAAATGACTCTATGGGAAGGAAAGAATGATAATATATTTGGGAATCGTCGGCATAAGAGTGCCGACATACGATAAATCCCATTCAAAAACAACAAATCATGTCTCGGGAAATGGGAATCTCTGTCAGATCAATAACTTGCTCAATAAAAAGTGACCTTAGGATGGGTGTATTTCGAAGAATGACAGGACAAAGGCTAGTCACTTCTCTAAAAAAATTTAAGCTACATCAATGGTCTTCATCGAAACATTTTGTTTAGTGGTGAGAAAATGTTTACAATTAAAGAAACATTTAATGGCCAAAATGATCGTGTGTAACACAGCTCTACAGAAGCCCAGGGAGTCATTGCAAGAGTGAAAAGAGGTCACTACCCTTCCTGAGTGATGGTTTGATGGGGAGTTTGCTTTGATGGCACCACAAAGCTCCGTTTTTGAGAATAAGGAGTTATACAGCCGCTAAAAATTATCAGGACGACACTTTGGAATCTATTTTCAAGCCTGTAGTCATTGGACTTTCCAGAAGGATTCCGTTCCAGCTCACAAGGTCAGGTAAACTCAGCAGTGGCTGCAAAAGAACATTCCAGAGTTCATCTCTGTCTCGGATTGGCCCTCAGGAAGCCCTGATCTCAACCCACTATTGTCCGAACTGGAGAGGATGGCATGCCACAGAGCAGACCCTAATTTGGAAAGCTTTAAACAATCTCTGGTCCGTGTAGTTGAGCGCTTTTCTCAAGAAGTGCTGCGTGCTGCTGTTGATGATAGGCCACGGAGATAAATGGCTGTGTCAAGGCAAAGGGGGAACATTTCGTGTAATTTTTTTTTTATTCTCTATAGATATAGATTTTATTTTCTAATAAAGTTTTTGAAAAAAATAATTTTTCTGTTGAAACCTACATATATTTCCTTGTTACAATATTTATGATAGGACTAGGTATATATATTCGCAATAACATATTTAACTATTGTATTGATGCCTATTAAAAGAAATAATTGAACTCAAGGGTGGATCAGAAAACCTAAACGTCGAATAGGAATAATAATCAACGGAAGAGGCACCTTTCTAGTATATAAAAAAAATATATATTATTTTATTTTAAATAATCTTTATAAAAAAAAATTGTATATAAAAAAAATATATATATTATTTTATTTTATATGCCATGAATAATATTTAATTTTTACATGGTAATCATTCCCCCAAAAATGTAATAGACCAATATTTATATTCCACTACACTGTATAAGAATATATATATATAGGTAGCTAAATTGTGAAAGGAGAGGGAGTTGCACAGGGGAGATCATTACGACCACTTTTGTTTATAATTGAATTAGGCTGGAGCTGGAACTTTGAACGAGCGCTAATGCTCTTGGCCACCTTCCTCTCCGGACCAATTAATCATTCTTCCTAATTTCTTAAGAACAGAAGAGAACAGATTCCAGGATTAAATGCTAGAGAAATTTCAAAATTTTACAACAGAAATAGAACATTTCTTTTAAAGGAGAATACGTAAAATTAAAAAAAAAAATCAGAGCTATTCGTTTATATATCGAAGTGGTCGGTTAGACATGTATCCTAATTGTGCCACTACAAAGCATGAACTTGGCAACAAAGTACTACTTCTTGACAGTAGTTTCATTAGGAGGTAAACTGACCAGCCCCCGTAACCAATACCTTGTATCAATTGATTTTCTTTATACATCTTATAGAATTTCATCCTTCTCCAGGGAATTATATTATTCATGAAATTAAAACTGGATATAAGCACGGAACATAAAAAACTCCAGGCAACCCTATTATTCTTACTTGTTGATATACATAACATGGTGCCCATCAGCCGGGTCTCCACTCTCATGGTATAGCTCCGACCCTACCACTTTTCTTTAACGCTAATTATGTTTGCAAATATGCATTACAAAAATTAAAGACTATTAAGGTAAATGTACCTTAATAGACAATTTAAAAGAGATTTTCAACATTAATGTATATCACGGTTTTCGTTCTGACGGTGGATCTTTCCAAATGAGTTTAATTGACTGCAAATTAAGCCTAGTCCTTTACAGATTTTTTTCTATATAGTCCAATATCATGCATGAAAAATTGTTTACAGGGCATATTGTACCACATTTGGAACCAACAGCTTTTTGTATACACAGCGACTTAGCTCTTCATGGTCAAAGTGTGGTGTGTGATTCTAGGCAAAATTCCCAACCAAAAATTTAATTTAACGCCTGGTCAGAAAAAGTTAAGACCAATTTTATGCTTTTCTTAAGATGATCACATTTTTTATTGAATAAGAAGGAATTGTTCAAAATCAGTTAAATTAAATCATAAGTACATTATCGTAAAGTAGAGAAAATGTACTTTGAGAAGACAGTAATTAAGTTAACATAAGTCAATGATAAATGGGACTTTCAGGTCTGATACGGCAGCTGTACTGCTTCAGTTACAGTTCCCAACCATATTGCCCTTGGTACAGTCCTCTTTCTATCAAATTATTAACATCCACCTGAAACTTCGTGAATAGCTTAATCTCATCGTAACCTACAACTATTTTATTTACAAAAACTTTTGGAATTGGGGCGTTTTCAATCTGGAGGGGGGCAAACTTTTTCTTTGCATTCTACTTGGATCTTAAGATCATTTGATCACAAAATCTATTAAAAAAATGGCCTAGAAAAATATTGAGTCGTTTGGCCTATATAACCTCGTTATTTTAACAAATTGGGGGTGCAGATCACGCTCAATATTTTTGAAGGCCAATTTTTTCTCGATTTTGTGTAAAAATTATCTCGCTATTATATCATATCTCTGTATACCTAATTTTATCAGGTGTACTTCTGAGCCGTCGTATTAGACCTCCTGATAGTTCCTTTAACCATTGACGTTAATGAATTTAATCACTGTTTTCTTAAAGTAAATTTTGTCTATTTTCCGAAGGTGCACTTAGAATTTAAATCTAACAGTTGTTGAAAAATATATTCTTATTCAATAAAAACCTAAGAAAAACATAAGATTGGTCTTAACTTCTTTTGCGTTCAGAATCCGCCAATGTAACAAATAAACATTTTGGAAAGTTTATTAATTTCCTATAATTACCTTCCAGTGTTTGGCCATTAGGCACCCTGTATAACTGAAAATCTCAATAATAAATGGTGTTCAGCTTTAAACTAAAAAATGGCAAATTGCAGACGAGTGAATCAAAATTTCATACTTATCTCCAAAATAAAAGAAATAAGGAAACCTTCCTGAAACAGACATCAGCCTTGCTCCATTCAAGCCCCGTTAGAGAACATCAATCAGAATAAAAACTTCTTTTTTTTATTTATTTTTTTTATTAATACATAACATAAAATTGGACATAAAAATTAAATTTGCGATCTTCAAATTTCTTTGCAATGAGCAAATTTTTTGGCAGCTTCACAGCTTCCCATCACAATCCAGGAAATAGTTCAGTTCAGCAGGTCTCTTGGCCACCGCCTACGTAATCTTCGAGGTAGGCTGTACGGGTTTCTAGTGCTTTCAAGTTTTTCTGTCATTGGATTTGTGTTGTAAGTTAGTCTTTGGTGAAAGTTACTGTAGTTTTCTTTTGCAGTGTCTAAAATTGGTTGTCTAAAACTGTAACACCCCTAGCATATACAATGATTGAGAATAAATTATTTTAGCCTATAATAATAATCCAACTGAATTAGAGGCATATTGAATAAAATAAAATTGAAATATTACTTCATATAAAAGCGTATTAGAAATAAATTTAATTTTCGACGGGGAAAGATGACGTCTTTGCTCTGGGGCGCAACTGTGACCATCTTTATACTTTTTTTTTGTTGTATATTATGAGTAATCAATATGGAAGCTTTCTTTCAATCTTCTGCCACAAGACAAATTTCATAGGATCCTCTCTCCCGTCCTCTTCTCAAGAATCGGAAAGAGCCAAAGGAAAGGACAATTTAATGGAGGAGATGACGGGGATGCCCTGGGATGGAATTCAAACGAGCCAGCTCCACGGGGTTAAAAGCCTCATTACTGGGTTATTCATTCCAAGGAGACTTCGGAAAACCATTAGTCAACCTCTTCCCCTTTTTAACATCATTTTTATTCGACTGTATTGAAAGGACAAGGCCATAGCCCCCTTTTCCAATAACCTCCGCCCAGTTATTATATGAAACCGTCCCCTCTCCCCCCCCTCCACTGACCTCGGGTATGAATATTTCAGTCTAAGGTTCTCTAACAGGCTCTATTGAGGTTGGACTACTTTAATGGAATCAACTTAAAGGAGATGAGGTTAAGTTTAAAGAGAGCGCTTAGTGGAGGCCGCATTAGAGTAGCTCTTTTGTCCGCGAGAATATCCAGTCAGGGCGGATAATATGAACTCCGATAAGAAAGGATTATCAGAATAAAATTTCAAACAAATAACAAAATCACTATCACTTATAATGGTAATACAGATTTATTTTAAGTTATATGGGGTGGAATGGCCGAGCGGGCAAACGCGTGTGCAGAAACATGCAGTACCCTGAGCAACCTGTGATAATAATGATGTAGAGATGGTTGACCGTTGATATAATATGAGAAGCAGTTGACCTGGGGGTGCGGTCAAATTAATACTAAATTAAATAAGTAGAACTATTTAATTTTTGCCGACGTTTTGACCGACTTTGTAGGTCTCCATCAGGGCTACAAAAGGTACAAAACATGGTGAAAATAAATGAATATAAGTAGATATAAAATAAGAATAAGTTGTCTGTTACAGAACTAAAAGATGATATCAGAGGTATAGTGGGTGACAATGTAGTTTAAATATAAAGTATTATATGTAGAAGATACAAACAAAAATGGAAAATAAGTATGAATAAAAATAGAAAATATAGGAGAATATTGCATGTAAGTTAAAGGTAAACAGATTGCGATAAAAGATAAGGAATGAGTGTAAAACAAACTAATAAATATTACATTTGATCAATGTAGGTTAACATATAAAGGAAATGAATGCTAACAAATAAATGGATTGTAAATAGACTAAGTATTGATAAAGTAAAGCTAAAATAAGAATAAGATAACATAATAATAAGATATCAGTGGATAACATGCTAGTGGAGGTTACATTTGATAACTGTAAGTAAATAGATAACGGGACTAAAGACTTTTTTTTTTTTTTTTTTTGTTCTTCCCTACCTCGCCTTTTAGGCTATACGGGATTTTCCCGGGCCGGGGGGTGAGGGCGGGGAATTTAAAATCCCCTCCGGCACCGGGACGCGAACTCGTACTTTTTATATCATCTCAAATCTCTGTTATCCGGTTGCCAGGCAACTAGCGGTGATGTTACTCACGCTTTAGCCTATTCGGCCACCCCGCCCCCAACGGGACTAAAGACTGATGAAGATCTACAAAGTGGGTCGAAACGTCGGCAAAAATTAAATAATTCTACTTATTAATTTAGTAATAATTTTACCGCACCCCCCGATCAACTCCTTCTCAACCTGTGATAATAGTTTAAGAGCTCAAATCTCGGTACCGGGGAGACTTTTAATATTTGCATAATTCACCCTCTCACCTGGACTAAACTTTGGATCTGTTAACTAAAACAAAACCTAAGAAAATCAAGATATTAATATAAAATATAGATATTTACCAATTAAAACCATTTTCAGAGTATGGTTTATGATAAGATAGGTATGAGTAAAAAATATAGGTGCTTAGAATTTTGTATTTCTAATTCCTAGAAATAAGTTTTTGTTTTCTTTATTGGTAAATGTTAATAAATTGATACCTTTTTTTGATGATCTATATTAAAATATTTAATCGCTATTATTAAAGTTATTAAAAATCTAAGATAACAATTCAATATTGAACCTATTCCCTTTATTTCAGAGTTAGAATGCATCGAGGCCAGGTATTTTTTATAACCATCGATAAAATTGGTATTGATATTGTTAGTCGATTTTTATATTTCTACTTATCTCAAAAAATTTGAAGTCGATTTTGCCTGCATTTGAGATACATAAGGCTGTGAGATTTGGAATTATTTCAATTATAAACTAACATTTATGGCCTGTCTCATGGTTAATTTATTACTAATTTGTATTAAATTTTTTTTTTGATAACCTGGACAAAATGTTTTTACGTATAATAATTTCATTTCTATACGTTTAAAACAGTTAAAACATATTTCATTGCTCTACCATCCTACTTTATTTCCTAATACTTTTCGCACAGCTAATAACCGTCATTTTTCTTTATTTATGTATTTTTTATTATTAAAGGGAACTAGCTTTTCATGCAGAAGATAGGAATCAAAACAATTAATTATTTTCAGTTTATTTCTTATGGGTACACAGTTGGTTTCTGTCACATGATTATTTGTAGTTTTGCTTCTCCTATCCTTTCAATATGGAATATATGATTCTGTCTATGTTATTTTTGTTTTAGCAAAAATAAAATAATTAATGGTTAAGCGTGATACCGATCAAATCACCTTGCTCAACCGGATGACCTGGAGAAAGCAATTCCTTACAAAGTGGACCCAAAACCCTTAAAGGTACAAATTTATTTTTATATAAGTAGATGTTTGTTTAGGTATACGTATATACATTTATTTTGCAGCCTGGGAAAAAGCTTATCTTTACATTCTCTTTTATTTCAAACTATAATACGTATACACTACTATACATAACTTGATATATTTGCGTACATTAGATAGAGAAAGGTATGAAATATGTAGCGGAAGGAGGAGCGGAAAGATGAGGAAGAGGCATTATGTAAACCTAGTTTTAGATTTATAGGGCGCCTCTCGAGTTGAGGGCCAAATACATGAATAAATATCTTAACTGTATCCTTGAGGCTGGTCCTTCGTCCTACATGTTATGGTTGACGATGAGGTTTAATATAGTCGTGGTTAGTGCAATAGGTCTGCAGCAGGCAATGGATACATATCATCAACGATCAGATCATATTTCATCTTCGATGCAGCGTCCTCCTTCAACTTGCCCTCTCTTCTCGGAAATACTGTTCGATAGAGCTGGAAATACTGAACGGATTGATTAACTGCAAGATGAACAAGATTTAAGGGAAAAAACAAACAGAAAATTTGTTCAGCAAAATAACGCAAATCTAAAACGTTTAACTAGCAATATACCACTTATTCGTTTGGATTTTTTTAAATTTAATTATAAATTATGATAATCAAGTAATTATAGCAGAAGATGGAGAAAAAATCAATCATATGTTCAGTAAGGTTAACGATACATATTTAAAGTGGGGACTGAATATTAACTTTAATAAAACAGGGCATCTTGACACTACATCACAAGCCACGCTAATTGAAAAATGTATTAAAATATCACAGAAATTCAAATACCTGTGATCGATATTTAAAAGTGAAGGCATCTCCAACAGTGATGTCGACCGGAAAATCGGTGAAGGAAGATAATTCACTGCAATGCTCAACGGAATCCTTTGGAGTTAGAATACGCAGCTCGGTACAAAAAGGCTAATATATAAATCTATTTTGGAGCCTAAAACGTCATACACCACAGCGTCATGGGTCATCAATGCAAGAAACCGGAGAAGACTGATAGGGGCAGAAATGGACTTCTCGAGAAGAGCTACAAGAAAATCCAGAAAGGAAATAATTAAAAAAAGTAAGGTGTGTGCATTAGACCAGACAGTGAAGGCAACATCAAGGCGAGATCGATAATACCAAATATAAATTATAAATAATAGCTCATTATGAAGAGGATACGATGCTGAACATTTCCCTGGCTTGCAGTATGCAGGTCCGATTTTCGTTTCTGAGATATTTCAACCCTTATTTTCCATAAAACTCGCTATCATATGGTTTTCGATATTTTTTTTCTTTTCGCCTCTCTAGCACGGAGTCGCGCTAAGGTACAATTTTGAATATTAGTTCATTACAGAGGAGATGAAATGCTGATAAATTCCCTCGCCTATAGCACGCAAGTCCGATTTTTAGTTTCTGAGATATTTTAATCCATATGCAAAAACTTTTCAATTATTCCACTTCAGGCAACTTTACCCGAACGTTACACATCGGAAATCTGACTGCTCAATCTAATTCATTCTCCAAAAAGTATTTTTAAATGCACCTAAAGAAGTTTTCACGTAAAAAAACAAAAACAAAACAAGAATTGTGGAAGTAAAAAGACTGAAAAAGAACACAGAAAAAGCAATGATGAAAAAACTGCTGATATCCTATCTAAATTTTGACGCTCCGAATTCCCCTGGCCTGGTGATAATAGTGAACACAACGAAAACATTCTTTTGATAACTTCTTTTCGGGTTACCGTACGAAAATTGTAGAAAAAATAAAAATCTATCAATTCCTGATTGTTTTATCTGATTTTAATCTTTGAAAATTTAATAATAGCTCTTAAAAGAATATATGAGGAAATTTGAATTAACAGTGAATTTCAGACTAAAAGATATCTAGGCAATTCTCTGGAAGGAAAGAACAGACATAATAGACGGAAAGGGTTCGGTAAACAAAGGTTACAATTGGATACAATTTGCCCTTTGAAAGCGAACCGAACCTAGAGGGCACACAACGGCAGGGGGACCATTTCCATAACCACATCACCAACCGCACCGCAACTTCCTCTCCCTTATTAATCATAGGATACAATCATTAGTCACTACAATATTATTCGATTATCCAATAACCACATGAATATTTATATAAATATATAAATTGGAAAAAAGAATTTTGCACAGTTTGCATTAGTCCTGAAATTTAATCATTAAATTTGGGTGAAAAATAAATTATTATTAGTTAGCCATTACTTTTTTTCCGAATGTTCTTTATCATTTACATGTAATAAATTTATAAAAGCTATTTATAGCTAGTAAGCTATAAATGTTAAGAATTTAAAGATTTAACATATAAAAGTTATATTATAATTAATATAACATTGCATGCTAGGGAAAATACACTACGTCACATGCTGTTATCATTTATCTTAGTTTAGCGGGTTTTTTTTTTTTCTCACAAATTGCAGTATTCGTGTAGTTTGTTTAAGCAAATTTTAGTGTTAGTGATACGTGTGTGAGATCTTGATATCTTGTTTGATTGTCATGATATTATTAATAACCTAAGTACAACAAAAAAAAAAAAAAAACTACTTACAAGTGTAGACAACAAATCCTACAGTTTGCGAATCGTCAGAGCTATTTTCAGTACTCTCGGAGTTACAAAAAAAAAAAATCTTTATCAAATATAGAACAGAAAAGAGCGTTTGAAAAATCACCGGGCTATATCTTTTGTTATTCACGTGTAAAGTGAAATTTCCGTATCGATGGACGTTCAAACCGAGCAGAACCAATTAAATAAAACCTGTTTTGCAAAAAAAAAGTGGTAAAAAGGTAAGGTAGTACCATGTCCCTGGAACACTCCAGTGGCCACAGAAATATCACTTAGCGATCGAATTTCCAGCAACTGGACCAGGCTGACTATAGGCAGAGCAAACAGAGCCAACGGACTGTAACTGGTTCCTCACTGGAGAAGATAAATCAGCTCCAGCGTACCGTGACAATTTCACAGAAGACGGCCCCGTCATATGGGGTACAGTCCTCTTCCAGCCTCGCTGTATCTCTATCTCTTTTTATATTGCCATTCTTTTTATTTTCACCCTCGGCGAACTTTAATTGGACTCGTCTGCATTTTATTATTATTTTATTTTTTACTACTTTTATAAATAAAAACAATTTTTTTTTCTATGGGTGAATAGGTATGAATATTTCCAAAGACAAAAACATTTTTTTTTTAAATTAAAAATATTATAAACATTACAAAAGAAGGAGATGGTCCGGGATGGCGGTCATGAATATGCTGAATAGTGGCAAAACTATTTTCTTAAAAGCCAACGACCCGACTTTGCAGGTCTTCTTCAGAGATGTGTGTTCAGCTAGGAATTTCACTTAGAACTGATTATAGGTGAAACTCCTAGCTGAACACACCTCCCTGAAGAAGACCTACAAAGTCGAGTCAAAACGTTGGCGTATAATAAAAGTTTTGCCACTATTCAGCCTATTTATGACCGCCACCCCGGACCATCTCCTTCCTTTATAATGCAACGGTCAACTATTAAATATTTAATTATAAACATTACATTTGACTCAGCTCCAATTTGAATGGAAGAATTTTCTATTTCTTGTAAACCTTCAGAGTATTGTACTATGTATACCGTTTTATAATATATTATCGAATAAATTCCGAGGGATTCATTTTAATTAGATTTTAACATGGAATTCGTATGAACGAATCTTAAGGTTCAAACGATTTATTCTGTACAATGAAATATATAAATTTCCATTGTTTCAAATTGCAACATAAATTTAATCAGTTCTATGCTATCTATTTGTTTGTTTGCATTTGTCGGCAAGGTATTAGGGTAGCTAAAACCTTTTTTGGTTTCTGCCGCCATAACTATTATAGCGATGAACTTCTTTCTTTAACGTTTAGAATCTCTAGGATCTCTTTTTTTCTTTTTAACACTTTAAAATTGGAAAAAAAAATCAGTTATACAGGTATAATCTCAATTATAAAAAAACAATAAATTGTTGCACTAATGGGGTGATGACACCCCGAAATTCAATTGTTCTACCAACGGATAGGGGGTCGCACAGTGGAGCCGATCGCCAATCTAGGAGGATAAAAAAAAAATTTAAATATGAGAAATGTAATATATCATCCTTTTTATAGATAGGTGGTAACCTAACAAGTGGCCTAGTAAATTTTTAAAGTTCGTTTAAACTCTCACAGTAGAGTACGGAAGAGAGAGGTTTGGGTGAGAAGGCCTTCAGCCCCACCAGTTGACAAATAGTTCCCGCATTGCTCGATTTATAGATTAAATCAGAGCCTGTGAGCGTTATTGCTTAAGACCGCTATAAAGATAAGATAAGATAAATATTCAACGTACTCTTAGCAAAACTGTTAGTAGGAAGACATGAATCACACATTAAAAGTCCGACCTGTCCCACACTGATGCGTTCACCATAATCACATTTTCCACTTTTTCCAGGCGGTAAAGGCTGCTTCTGATTTTAAATAATCCTTTTTCGTTTCCTACATTTTTACTTTCCTACCTATACTAGGTAAGGAAAGTATTGCAATCGGGTCAAATTTCCGACGGATCTATACGTTTCACAGCCCTCTGAGTCCGAAAAACACATTTTTAGCCATTGGTCTGTCTGTCTGTGCCAAGATTTTATCGGGAACTACTGAACCGATTTTGTTGCTTCTTTTTATTTTGTAGGATTTTTACTACTAATGCCTGTGACGGAAATTCGGTGCTCCATGCTGAATAGCTTGCGCGCATTAAATGAAAAACATCAGCAATATTAGTGAGTATTGAAATTTTTATACTGATCTATCTTAAGCCGGTTTCATTGCTTCAGTTTATCTAATAAATTGTACTCAAATCTTTTGTTTGATCAATTTTCAGGAAAATAAATGTAGTTCAATTCTTTTTTGTTTCTTCACGAACATATGTAAAGATATAAAAACTTTTCTGAAATAGGTAGGAAAGTAGTGTGAGTGGACAAACCAGATTTTTATATATAGCTTTCAGTTTAGAATTGTTTTCTACCTTCATCCCTATTTTCTACCCTAGGTTCAATCCCAAAATTGGTCTTGGTTCTTGGTCTTTTCCGATTCAGGAGTTGTATGTTTACCTCTTGACAGACCGATATGACTTTTGAAGATAAATTCTCGTTTTGCATACAAGGTAAATTAAAGATCAAATACGGAATTTATTTTTCTTTCCTTTTTTAATGATTTAATTTCATCCCCTAAAGCAATAACTTCCCAGTCCTGCTCGAAATCTTCCTTCCTGATTCGGAAATTTCTCCCATAGAAGAATAGGAGATTAAAGTAATATTATTTAACAATTTGTTTCTTTATTGTTTTTATTTAAGAAAAGCAATTAAGTCTTCATAAGGGACACCTATATTAAGTTACCTTTGAACAAAATTGAGTTAATTTTTTTTTTTTTTTAAATAATTTATTAACTGAGAGAATAAAAAAAAGT